GATTTTATTTACTTTTTTTTTTGCTGAGACTACCTCTTGGATCACAGGTGCAATGAAGAGCAGAGAAACAAGATGGCTTCTGCCCTCAACTGACATCAAAGACAAACTGTTGCAAAGAACATCACCTATAAAAAATGAATCTATGTTTCTAATGCAAAATTCCCTCACAGATAAGGTTGCCATTTCACTTTTCCTCAGTATATTGAAAGAGAAGGTGAGTGCCTCTTACCTGGCTGTGGGTCCAGCTCCACCGATGTTTTCTCTGAAGGTTGTTCATCCTTGAACAGACTGCAGAGCGATTCCTGGTTCTTCTGGGTGCACAGCCTGCTCAGCACTGTCTTCTGTATCAAAGTCATCCTATGTTGCAAGGAGCTCTTCCAAAGCTGCCACACATGAAGCTGTTTTGAAGGACTGTGCATGTGAGGCTTTGGTAAGCACCAAGTCAGGACCAGATAGGCATGGGGTTGCTGATCTTGCAGTGATAATAAGTAGCAGGTCTTCAGAGTGCTCTCTGCCTGGGAACACTGTCCTCTTGGTGGCCATCTCCACAGCTTCTGCATGATGTCTGCACATCAGGATTAACCATGCTCTTCCAAAACATCTTGGTGCCCTCACATTTAAGCTTAACTAACAAGCTCCACTGCCCACCTAATAAAAGTCTTTGAGCAGTCCCATCCAAGAGCTTTTGAGTGGAGTCACGAAGGAAATGGAGTACAGAAGAAACACAACGAAGGGGAGAACCCTCATGTGGACATAAGCCAGCCAATACATCATCATATGGGGTGGGGAAAGGAGGAGAGAGAAGTTAGAGCACACGTGCTTAGGGACCTGCAGGATGATCCAACAGTACTATCAAAACACAAACTCAACTACCCAGGCTTTAGTTGCATCCCAACTGCAAGCAGATACATCAGGCCTGAACAAAGTGAAAGGGTTTTGCCAAACAGCCCAACCAGGGAAGCAAATCCCATCAAAACACATAGGACGTGAGGCTACTCTGAAGAAAACTGTAACTGAGTTAGGGCTAATAACAAGACAAAAAGTGAGGATAAGCCCAAAGGCAGGCACACTGACACACATCTGTGTACTCTCTGCAACTCGCTGAGCTGTTTAGTTCATAATTAATAATCAACCCCTTAACATCCCTCTTTTCCCT